TATTTTTTCCCTGAAATTGATCTTAAAATTCTCCGTAGCCGTGACTCTTTCCTTTAATATCGTTGTTCTTCTCACATAGCCGAGAAACTTGAACTGAACAATGATTGTGCCCTTATGGGTTGCAATGGTGAAGCCAACTTTTGGCGGGTCAGCCAAATTATTGCTGTGGGTCACTTAGTGACCCGCGGGTCATAGGTTGCCGACCACTGCTCTAATCACATAGTGGGGCCTGATAATCACTCTTATAACACACCCACAGCTACAAAGTGCAGAACTATATTTTACAGCAACAGGAAACAAACCAGTCCAACGTGCTAACTTGGCTATGCCAAACCAGCTAAAGTCTATTTCAACATAGCCTTAACTGTAACCTACCATCAACTATGGAACATATTAAGGATTAATTTTATAAATAAAATTGATTTTCATTTTTAAAAAAATCATGTTACACATCCTATAGGAAATATAAAGATCGTTTTAAAAAAGGGGGTGATTAAAGTCCTTTCGCAAGCTTGAAATAAGCCAATCAAAGTTATTAATAAATCAATACTAATGTAACAAGATTTATGACACAGATAAAGTACATTACATTATATGTATAAAGGAGAAAAAAACTATGCTCTATACAATGATGAGTTGATACATTTCGTCAAGGTGTCCACATTCTTTCCAATTTTTTTCCTCCTCATTTCCTATACAAGCTTTCAGATTTTTCAGACCTGTCAATGTGTGAGCATGACACCCAAATATTTCAGTGTTTTCTGATCATTTTATCAAATTAACACCACTACAAACTTATAATCTGGTTATAAACAGTTATAAAAAGTTCAGGACAAGCACACTTCTAACTATGATACAACAACAAAATAACTACAACTTAACGAGAGACAATAAAATGCTACCTTTCTTGTTTATGAACGAATATCTAACATAATCTGTCATCAGATATAATCAATTATTATCAAATAAAATAACACAGACCGACAATGATGGTATTAAAATTGGTATAACTAGGCAGCACGGTTTTTGTGCACTTGTTGGTTCCAGATAAATAAAAAAGATGGACCCATAATTCTCACAGACTTTTTTTTGGTTTCAGATCATATTTTAGTTTTTTTCCAATTTTTTTGACCCTCCCCTTTTCAAACACACTGATTTTCCAGGTTCATAGCCACCCTGATTTATATACACACATACAGTTATCAGCACTTAAAGTATGCCTTGGTACAAGATACGAGTAAATAATATCAAAATAGGCTTTAACTTGCATATAACAATTGATTCACATAATTCTGGTTTCATAATAATTTTAAACCACAAACTTTAGTTGTTTATCTGGTTTTATAATAATTCTAAATCCACAAACTATAGCTGTTTATCTGGTTTCATAATCATTTTAAACCACAAACTATAGCTGTTTATCTGGTTTCATAATAATTTAAAACCCAAACTTTAGCTGTTTATAGATAAAGATGTATAAGATGCTGAAAACAGACTAAAGAACAAAATGTTTTAAAAACGTAATATATTTTTTGGAAGTAATACTTTATTGTTGAGTGTTTATAGTCTTCTTCACAAAAGCTATCTGTTTTTCTTTAAGTCTCAATAAAATGACCAAATACTACCACATATCACAGTTTACTTTTGAAGTTAATCAAACAATTTAGTTCATTATGATTATAAGTATCAAAAGGAACTTTATATCTTTTTTATGTGATCAATTTTTTCACGCAAGGTTAAATAAAACACTTTCAAACTTAAAAATGAATAGTGTCTACACCTTTCAACTTTTTTTTTCAATTCAGAGATTCATATGTTAATCCTTGAGATACAGTGTAGTATACAAATGTTATATTGTAGTATAAATTTCATGTCAATAAAATTTTACAATTTTTTTTAACTTCTGATTTTGAAGATCTTAAATCCAGTTGAGGGTAAATCTGGCCTGAAGTGTTACTTTTTGCAGTTGGACTGGGTCAAGAAACTTGTATATTTTTTTAATGGGACGATTGCATTGCATATAGAGGGTATCTTGTGACTGTCACAAGAAGCAGAGGTATTTCTGCATTCAGGAACCCATTTTCCAACT